CACCTGGATAATAATTATTTTTATTTTGGATCACGCTGTTGTCCCCTGTTGACCTGAAATGAGCTAGGACCATGCATTTCATTTCAGGAGGATTTTCTGGCAGCTCGCTCTGCTTTTTGCTGCAAATTATCTGTTTCTGCCTGTTGGTTCTGGACCCAGCTTCTGTTTCCCATGGGAGCATCCATCCATCTTCACAGGGGGGCCAGAGCCCCCCCCCCCCCCCCTCAGCCCAACTCAAACTGCAGTTGGGCCACCTCGTCGGGTTTGTTTACCCATTTGATTTGTGACGTTTTATGGTCTGATACTTTTCTGTACCATTCATATTATTGTCATTATTTTCAGATCTCAGACTATCTGGAGTCACTGAATCTTGTTAATTCACCTGGATCTGCCCATCATTGCAACTTTCACTGTTTTTGCGTTCTGAATGATCGTGTGTTCATTAATGTTTCTCATGGTTCAATTATTGAGCTAATTGTCACACTGTTAACTCCTGTAATTACACATCAGTCATGAAGAACTCGAGAAAATGTCTGATAATAATGTTGTTACTGCTCTCAGGGATTCAGCCCAACCCTGGACCCCCCACTATTTATAGGACACCAAATGACTTTAAAAACATGTCAGGACTTCATTTTCTGCATGTAAACGCTCGTAGCCTTCTGAGAAAACTTGATGCCTTGAAAATTCTGGTCAGTTCTTCTGGGGCAGATGTAATCTTCATCTCTGAAACCTGGCTCAACAAATCTGTACTGAATAATGACCTGGTAATCAATGGATTTAACATCTACCGTTGTGATCGTCAAAAAAAGGGGTGGGGTGGGGGGGTGGAGTCATTATTTACATTAGAGATTTTCTGGTTTCTAGTCATGTGTCTTCTAAAATAATTCCTAACCAGTTTGATGCCATAGCTGTAAACATCACTTTGCATGGAGGCCAGATTTTATCTGTAGTGTGTTGTTATCGTCCTCCCTCAGCAACACCTGAGGCTCTGTCCTCCCTGATGGAATTCCTTGGTAATTTAAAATTCAAAGAGATTTTTTTGGCAGGAGATTTCAACATTGACAGGGATAAGTCGATCCCCCCCTCCCCCTCTGTGATAAATTCAAGGAATGTTGCCTGTCTCTCAATCTTACCCAACTGATCAACTCTCCGACTAGACTAAACAAAAACCGTCCTGAAAAGTACTCCATCTTAGACCTGTTTCTAACAAATATGCCTCACAAATTCCCTGGTAAAGGTGTATTGCCAACATTTTGAGTGATCATTGTGTGACAGCGACTCTGAGAGATATTAAACATCCACATTCTAAGCACAGATTAATTCAAAAAAGGGATCTGAAACGTTTTTGTGAACAGTCATTTCTCTGGGATCTGCCTCACTTTGACTGGCATCGTATTCTATTAATTGATGACGTGAATTCCGCTTGGAACTATTTTCATAATAGTTTCATTTATTTTGTGAACAAACATGCTCCTTTTCGTCAGTTCAGAATAAAGGGACAAGATAGCCCCTGGTTTAATCCAGAGCTAGCTGGCCTCCTGCACAGGAGAGATCATCTTTGGGCCGCAGCGAGAAAATCTGACTCAGACAATGATTGGTTGAGTTTTCAACAGATGAGGAATAAATGCACAACTGCCATCAAAGCAGCAAAACGCAACTATTTCTTATCTCAGACCTCCAAAAATCTAAATGACCCTAACAGATTCTGGAAAACCATCAAATCTCTCTCAGGCATCCCCCAATCATCTGATCTCCCATCACAACTTCTCGTTAACTCTGTTCCTGTGTCAAAAAAGCATAAGATCCTGAACTGTTTCAACAAACATTTTGTTGCATCTAGTTCTTTATTTGACACAGTTACTAATGGAAAATCAGCCACTTCACTTAATAATCGAACTTCTACAAATCAAATCCCTCCTACAAGTCAATCCTTAGTTAATCACACCTTCTCTTTTTCTCCATTCTCAGTTAGTGAGGTGAATAAACTGTTAAAAGATCTTGATCCTAAAAAATCTGCAGGTCCAGATGAACTTCCAACTTATTTCTTCAGGCTGGCTGCTCATATCATCACAGTCCCTGTGACCCACATCTTTAATCTCTCCATAAGCCAAAACTCCATTTCAGATGCTTGGAAAACAGCCTTTGTTCGTCCTTTGCTGAAGGGAGGAGACCCCACCTCACTGAACAACTATCAACCAATCTCTAAGCTCTGCATTTTAGCCAAGGTTCTAGAAAAACTGATAAACTCTTAAATCAAAAATTACCTGGACTCATTTAACATCTTACATCCCCATCAATCTGGTTTCAGGAAACAACACAGCACGACTGCTTCACTGAAGGTTCTTAATGACGTTGTTGAAGCACTGGATGCTAAGGATTATTGTGCTACACTTTTCTTAGACCTGTCTAAAGTTTTTGACACTGTGGATCATAACATCTTGTGTCATAAGCTTTCAGAAATTGGTTTCTCAGAACACACCATTGGTTGGTTCTCTAACTATCTCTCAGACCGGAGGCAATGTGTTCAGTATAATGGTACTTCCTCCAGTTATTTACCAGTCAACAATGGTGTATCACAAGGCTCAGTCTTAGGACCCACCCTCTTTACAATCTACATACTGTTACGATAGTTCTTATTTAGACTGGTCCTATGGTTTTGATCTGCTCAGGGATGAGATTATAATGAAATTATGACCCGGTTCTGACTGGGTTAAACTGGGCCAGCAAACTCTTAAGAGAGTCTCCCTGATGATTCAATATCTGTCACGGAATAGAGTTTGATCTGCTTGCCACATCACGTAGAAAGGCTTTGGAGCACCATCTCATATTTTTCCTAACACGTCAGTCCACATAAGACCACACTTAGGCACGCCCCCTCATACACTGACAGGTTGAGCTCCCCCTTCTGCGAAGGCAGAGCCTAGGACCCTATAAAGGAATAATGAGACGAGACATCGAGGCTCTTCCGGGTCTGTGTACGCGTCACAGTCCGGAGAGTCCAGCGTTGTAAAACTGTAATCTTTTTCCTGCCATTTTTTAATATAATTGATAAAACTTAATTGACGTCTCATTGATTTATTGATAGTATGAGCTGCCACTTCTGAGAGAGATAGAACCAGAGGAAGCGGTGGGGGCTGGCTGAGAGTCCAGGGCTAGAGAGGAAGCCTGAGGCCCACAGCTAGCCGTAGCTAGTTGCAGTGACTGACGACCCGCAGTCAGCTCCCATAACGCAACAATACATAATGTAGGTAAAAACATCCCTAATGCATCCATACATTTCTATGCTGACGACACAGTTGTTTATTGTCGAGCTAAAACAGTTGATAAAGCTTTCCAGCTTTTGAAATCCACATTTGACATCCAGACAAATTTGTTCCACCTCAAACTTGTCCTAAATGCCGACAAAACCAAAGGGATGCTTTTTTCAAATAGGAAGTTGGTCCCAGCAGTTCTTCCTCCGATTTTATCCTCAAATGGTGTCCCCATTGAGTTTGTTGATTCTTATAAATATTTGGGTATCTTGGTCGACTCGCATCTCTCTTTTAAGCTTCGTGTGGAAAACTTGATAAAGAAACTGCAAGTTAAACTGGGTTTTGTTTTCAGACACAGATCCTGTCTAACCCTGAATGCTAGAAAACGCCTTGTTTCTGTGACTTTCCTTCCCTTCATTGATTATGGTGACATTATTTACATGAACGCTCCTACAAGAACCCTGCAGATGTTGGATGCTGTCTATCATGGTGCACTAAGATTCATAACTGGCTGTGATTATCGTACCCACCACTGCACTCTGTATTCACTGGTTAACTGGACATCATTAACTTCATGCAGACTCTCCCACTGGTACATTTGCATTTTTAAATCACTTCTTGGTCTGCTGCCTTCATACATCTCCTCCTACATGTCTCTGCATGAGTGCAGCTACAGCGTGCGCTCTCAGGACATTATTACCTGCAGTGTTCCCTCAGTGCGGACTGAACTAGGCAAAAGGGCCTTCTCCTACTCCACTCTTGTTTCCTGGAATATCTTACAAAAAGATCTGAAGCTCTCGACCTTGACCTCTCTAAGTGGCTTTAAGAATCTGTTGGACTCCTGGCAGGGACCAATGCAGACATGTTCCTGTTTTTAGTTTTCTACATTCACCTTAGCTGTTTTTATGTTGCTTTTCTTTTTAGCCATCTTATTTGTTAAAAAAAAAAAAAATCTATATGACTTTTTATAACTGTTTATTGTTGTCGCCGTTGTCCATTGTTGTCATCATTCTTTGTTGAAATCAGGTCTCTCTTGTAAATGAGTCCTGGAGGCTCAATGGGATTTACCTGTCTAAATAAAGGTTGAATGAATAAGTGTTTTAAATGAGCACTGCAAGGTGTTTTATTATCATAATTAATGTCTTCGGCTGCTTTTGCAAATCAGTTTTTCTTTTGACTTTATATTGTAGGACTTTAATACAGCCACAAACATCTAGATGTGTCTATGTTGCCTTATCTAGTAGTACATCTGTTCCTCATGAGCAACACTAAACTCTGAGGGAAAAAATAATTAACAGAATAGTGAGCTGAACTGTGGCCGTTTAGCTAAACGTAATTTTCAATGTCTAATAAGCTAAAGGCATATTTGTGATGTAACGAACCATTTTTATTTGTTTTGTAATGCTGGTTACAGGCTGACTTGAGCGCAGTCACGTACTGAGGGCGTGAACCATCTTGATTGTTTTGTAATCTTCGTTTTCGTAACATGGTCACGTTTCCTTGTTTTGTTTGTACGTCATGGTATGGTGGCCTATAACATTTTTTTTTTAAATCACTGACCGAGCAGGAAGCAACGATATGGTTATTGTTTTTTTCTTAAGCAGCTATTTGGACCGCCGCGATGTTCCTGATGCATGCTCCAGGTAGAAAAACCAAACCAACCGTCAGTTGGTTTGTTTTTACGCGACCAATCGTTGGTCCGTACGCGGTGACGTCACACGTTTGTCTCATCTCCTGCCTGGGAGTGTCGCAGGACTTGACCCCTCTGATAAGGCTATTCTGCCCTCAGTTACGTTTATCGCAGCAGTGAGCGTGTTGTGTATAGCTTTCTGTTCTTGGAACAGTCAAAACCCAGAAACTTTACGAGCTGCTGACAGCCGAGAGCGGGTAAGTGATGTCTCAGCACATTTATGTGCCTTGTTCTGTTAAAACCTTCAGTACTTGTCTCGTTTTGTAAGCTAGTAGGCATAGATTTCCATAACAAGTTAGCATTGACGCTACCCACTTTGCTAAACTTTTTCATTCATGCATTTTCATGCAGCAATCAAGATAAACAAATAAGTACAAATGTACAAAAATGGTTGATGAAACATGTTGTTTTAAAAATAGTTGACAATTGAAGTTGAATTAAAGCTGCCGCTGCAATAATTGTGGTGTTCATCTTTGTTAAACGAATCAGGAAACTTCTTATGTTTTTATTGTATTTGTTTACTTAAATTTATCGAGTTCTACTATTTCAACTACTTCCCGTCTGGCAAGTCAATACTGACACCTGGTGGTTACCACAATTATACTTGCATAATGATGATTCATTAAATGTTTATTATTATTATCATCATCATTTAGTGACATTTAGCTGAAAAGTATTTAAATCACACTTAAAGTTCAGACAGGTAAATCATTGCTGCTGTGGTGGGACAATGTTTGTGATCACCTCTGGACTTTTGTTTTCTGCTAAACAAAAATAAAATTAAAATAAAAAACACCAAACGTTGCAGGAAATATATAATTTGAGCCAAAGCAGTCGAGTATAAAATTCTGCATTGCGTTAGGTTTATCTAACACCAGAAAAGATTTAAATGATGTCATAGTCAAAGTATTTCTTGTGAATAACTCTGTTACTACCACATACAACTTTAGCTAGGTATCTGTAAAACTGACCGAATTGTAGATATTTTCTATGTTTGTTAATATTGAGTTATCTATAGCATCCAAGTTAAATTGATTCCTTTCATCAGTAATAGATGTGCATTTAATATTTATTGTTACTTGAAAGTTTTAATATACTCAGTTCAGGGATTCATGAGATATTTTGCATCACACATTATGCAGCTTTTTAAACTGTTTTTTCAAAACCTTCTTGAAAATAGAGAAAATCCTTGTGCATTAAATGTTACTATAAACAGTAATGAATATAAGTACCTGTAAGGTGACCTGCTTTATCTCAGACCATGTGGCTGCCTTTGATTGGGATGACGGCCCTGCCGCACGTCGGAGGGATCTACGGTGGTATTGTTACACGCAGACAGGTGAAGACCTGGTACCCAACCCTAAATAAGCCCTGGTGGCGCCCACCAAATGCAGCGTTCCCAGTGGTGTGGACGTGTCTGTACACAGGCATGGGGTAGGTGTTGCATCGACTCTTGCCGAGTGAAGCTCCCTCAGCTGAGTGATTTTTATTTTGGATTTGGCCCTTTAGGTACGGTTCTTACCTGATCTGGAAAGAGCTCGGGGGTTTCACTGAGGATGCACTGGTTCCACTGGGCCTGTATGGACTGCAGCTAGCTCTAAACTGGGCCTGGACTCCAATTTTCTTTGGTGCACACAAGATAAAATTGGTAAGTTTAACTCAGAGATGTTTAAGTATTTTTAGATGGAAATTACACTGAACTGCTGGATGGTTTATTAAATGTGTTTTCTGTCAAATGTAGGCACTGATTGAGATTGTTCTTCTCACTGGGACTGTTGGAGCCACCATGGTGTCTTGGTATACCATCAGCCGCACCGCCACTTTGCTCCTGGCGCCCTATCTGTCCTGGCTGTGCCTCGCCACTTCCCTCAACTACTGCATATGGAGAGACAACCCCGAGACGAAAGAAGAATAGGGGACTGTGTCTGTGCGCTTCACTTTTTCTTATAAATTCTTTACAATAAATGTTTATAAAATCCAGCTCATAATCAGTTAAACTTTTAGACTCTATGATTCAGCTGATATCATTGTGTTAAGCTTGTCACGGACCAGTTTGTGCGTTCTTGTTTGATAAAGCAGGACTTTTTTTTTTTGGGTTTTCATAAACATTTTAAGCCTGTCCTGCAGACCACTATCTTTGCTGCATTTTAAAACTTGACCAGTTTTGTTTTGTTTGTTTTATGGGGACACAAATCCACCTCTAACCTTATTTTTAATCAATTTATTATTAAAATGACCAGATCATTTCTTTAGGTAAAAAATTGTATTTGTAATATAATCCAAACTAGTTTGTGTATGACCAGTCTAATGCTCGTGCTCCATGTGAAAATGGTTTCAAGTGAAGTTTAAATTTCTGAGCTTTTTATAAATGTTTCAAATGTGAACTTATAAAAACAAGTTTTGTGTTTTAACTGACATGAGTTTGGTTACACTTGCTCTTTATCCACTTTAACCCAATCAGGAGGACTGGCATCAATCCCAGTGGGGCACACCCTGGACAGTTCACCAGTCCATCACTGGATCACATAAACATGGATAAACACACAATCACACTTGAGCCATTTTAAAATCTCCAGTTAACCAAAAAATGCGTATTTTGTACTGTGATAGGAACCTGGAGATGCAGAAAGACCCCAGCCGAACATGAAACCCTGGATATATTTTTCTGTGAGGCAACACTCAGCCTAATGTGCAGTAAAAAATATCTGTGTATCAATTTTCTCCTCATTTTCTTAACATTTGTTATAATCCTGGGAATCAAGAAGAAATCCATAATTAAAAAAAAAAGCGTCAGACTGGTGGAGAGTGGCCATCTGACCATGATTTTAAATATCTATAGTATAGATATATAAATAGATATTATAATTTTTTTAAATAAAAAAAGAACTGAACTACAAACCGGATTCCAAAAAAGTTGGGACACTAAACAAATTTTGAATAAAAACTGAATGCAATGATGTTGAGATGGCAAATGTCAATATTTTATTCGTAATATAACAAAGATGACAAATCAAAAGTTTAATCTGAGTAAATGTAACATTTTAAAGGAAAAATATGTTGATTCAAAATTTCACAGTGTCAACAAATCCCAAAAAAGTTGGGACAAGTAGCAATAAGTGGCTGGAAAAAGGAAATTGAGCACATAACGAACAGCTGGAAGACCAAGTAACACTAATTAGGTCAACTGACAACATGATTGGGTATAAAAAGAGCTTCTCTGAGTTTCAGTGTCTCAGAAGCCAAGATGGTAAGAGGATCACCAATTCCATTGTTGCGCAGAAAGATAGTGCAGCAATACCAGAATGGTGTTACCAAGCGTAAAATAGCAAAGACTTTTACGTTTTCATCATCAACCGTGCATAACATCGTCAAAAGATTCAGAGAATCTGGAACAATCGCTGTGCGTAAGGGTCAAGGCCATAAAACTCTACTGGATGCTCGTGATCTCCGGGCCCTTAAACGTCACTGCACCTCAACCAGGAATGCCACTGTCAAGGAAATAACAGAATGGGCTGAGAAATACTTCCAGAAAGCATTGTCAGTGAACACAATCCACCGTGCCATCCGCCGTTGCCAGCTGAAACTCTACAGTGCAAATAGGAAGCCATTTCTAAGCAAGCTCCACAAGCTCAGACGTTTGCACTGGGCCAGGGGTCATTTAAAATGGAGTGTGGCAAAATGGAAGACTGTTCTATGGTCAGATGAGTCAAGATTTTTGAAGTTATTTATGGAACACTGGGACGCCATGTCATCCGGACCAGAGAGGACAAGGATAGCCCGAGTTGTTATCAACGTTCCGTTCTGAAACCTGCATCACTGATGGTATGGGGTTGCATGAGCGCTTGTGGCATGGGCAGCTTGCATGTCGGGAAAGGCACCATTAATGCAGAGGACTATGTTCAGGTTCTAGAACAACATATGCTCCCATCTAGACGTCATCTCTTTCAGGGAAGACCCTGCATTTTTCAACACGATAATGCCAGACCACATTCTGCAGCAATCACAACATCATGGCTACGTAGGAGAAGGATCCGGGTACTGAAATGGCCAGCCTGCAGTCCAGATCTTTCACCTATAGAGAACATTTGGCGCATCATAAAGAGGAAGGTGCGACAAAGAAGGCCCAAGACGATTGAACAGTTAGAGGCCTGTATTAGACATGAATGGGAGAGCATTCCTATTTCTAAACTGGAGAAACTGGTCTCCTCTGTCCCCAGACGTCTGTTGAGTGTTGTAAGAAGAAGGGGGGGATGCCACACAGTGGTAAAAATGGACTTGTCCCAACTTTTTGAGGATTTGTTGACGCCATGAAATTTGGAAACAACAGATTTTTCCCTTAAAATGATACATTCTCTCAGTTTAAACTTTTGATCTGTGATTTGTGTTCTATTCTGAATAAAATATTAGATGTTGGCACCTCCACATCATTGCATTTGGTTTTTATTCACAATTTGTTTAGTGTCCCAACTTTTTTGGAATCTGGTTTGTACGTAGACCTATGTGATTTTAACTGTGGAAAAATAAATAGAAATAAAGCAAAATGTTTAAGTATTTGCAAAAGAAAAGACAGAAAAACAGCTAAAACTAGTAATTTTTTGTTGTTATAACAACCAATAAAATTCAGTTTTATGTCAGTTTTGGTCAAAGCTTGAAAGAGCCGTTGCAGAGGGACCAAAGAGCCGAGTGTGGCTCTAGAGCCGCAGGTTGCAGACCCCTGATCTATACTCACACCAAACTACACTATATTTTCTGGTTTCTGACAAATGAAGAACTACTTTACTTATAAGGCATTACTTGGAATATAGTTAGTGCTTTATCTGCTAAAACAATGTGTTTTAGCATTAAAAATTGTTTCCTCATCACAGCTTTTATTATTAAACTTTGAACAAGGGATGAAAATAAGCGTTGGAATCAGTAACAGGACAGGAAACGTGTCTAAATCAGAGGTTGTAAATGCATAAAACATGTTGTTTTTTAATAAATTAATTAAAAGGCATCAGTAAATTCTGTTCAGACTTGTTTTCTAGCTGGGACTGGGTGTTGGGTAAGAGTAAAAAAGTTAATGTACGTGTCCAGTCAATTACAGAGCATCTACTTTTTAAAAATAAAACACAATGAGGCAAAAGGAAAGCAAAAGAGTCAGAGATCTTGCAGTTAAACATGGATTTTAGTCTGTTTCTTGGTTCCTGGTTTAGTCTTTACAATGTGACTACAGAACTTTAATGTGTAAAGCTATAATAAGCACTAATAAAAAGATTCACTGAGATAATAAGTAATGAGCTTTATTTTTATACAAGTAACAAAAAAGAGAAAAGTTATTTTTCAGGAGCTTTTTCTGGACCGCCTTCTGATGATTTGAAGGAGAATCTGTTTATTAAAGATTTCCACAAACCCTTCTTTTCTTCGTCCATGCTTTGTTGCATACTTTCTGTAAAAACAAAGAAGATGCAACAATCAGAAGCTCTTTATAATATTTTCATTGCAATTACTAGAGAGTTTATATATATATATATATATATATATATATAGTGAGTCTATACCTGACAAAAGCATCCGACACTCTTCTGTTGTAATTCCAGTAAAACTTGTGTCTCTCACACGAGGAAACTGAAAAACATATTCACATTAAAAAACTATTATTTTCTTACATTTTATGCATATATAAGAAAAAAACAGCTTTTAATTTTTGTGCACCAAGTACGTTTGAGGTCTGAGTCAAATTAAAAGATGTCCATTATTTACAAACTAACCTGGTGTGCTTTACTGACACCAAACAGAGTCTTTACACTAAATACCTTTTTAAATGATCATTCTTACAGGCAAAAAGTATTTTTAGCTGATCAAATCTATGTCATAAATTAAGAGTTATCTGCAGAGGGATCTATCTTTATTCAGATATATATAAAATATATAAAACAAAAAGGTTCAACAGTAGATTCAACAATAAAAACAACTATAAATGTGAACTCACTCTTTGTCTGTACACATTGCCATTAATACGGGCCAAACTTTCATACATCTGGTCACATTTCTCTGGATCTGCAATCTGAAAGAAAACAAATAAATTAGATTAAATGTGGAGCGAAACAGACATGATAACAACCAAATCGGTTTATCTGTCAGGACCAAGACAGGACAACTAAGATCATTTTAATCTCATTAAAATGAAATTTTATAAGACCTGTACTAGCCAATTTCCAGATGTGACATCTGATGGGAGTTTCATACATTCAGCGTGTCTAGGCCTGCCACAGTAAACAATAAATCAATTAATCGCATGATAAATTAAAATTATCGACCTCATTTTCATTTATCGGCTTTATCGTTTCTTTGTGTCTCTTTCTACTGAAGACACTGGATGACAAAAGGCTCAACACGGGTGCTCTTCACTGACCCCTCCCTTTCACTTTGAAATCCAATGTAACCATCCAAAATCGCGTTTTTGGATTGTTAAAAGCAGCTAAGCTGAGAAGCTAAGCTCCGAGCTAAGCTAACATACCGACCTCAAGGAAAAAACCTCCGTCTTGTCGAAGCTCCAAAATTCACAGTTGAAACCCGTGCCTTCGTCTAAAAAGTTGTTTTTCTCTGCAAAAAGAAGCTGAGAACTTGTTTACTGTTTTTTTATTATTAAAAGCTTTGTGTGAAAAATGCTATGTTAAAGAGCTCAAACCACACCGAGCATCCGCCATTTAGAGAACCGAAGAGAGACAGCCCATGTCACGTCAAGGGTCCTCCCTCCCATTTTTCTTAAAGAGACACTCTGCTCACTCCCTCACTATCCATCCTTCTGGTCAAACGTCTTATACTGCCATCTGGTGGTCGAAAAAAGGTACTACAGGCAAACCATAGTATTCATTCAAACTTTATTTAGACAGGTAAATCCCATTGAGCCTCAAGGACTCATTTACAAGAAATACCTGATAACCATTTCTTCTTAATTTATTGTCAGATTTCAAACAATATTATCAATTATCACAATAATTTCTGAGACAATTAATCGCCCAGCAAAATTTGTTATCGTGACAGGCCTAAGAGTGTCTTTAATTCTTTTTAAACATTTAAAAACATAACGTTTAATGCATAGTTAGAATGTGACTAAAACTGAAGGAAAAGCATATTTTTGACTAAATTATACAAAAAAGAAAAAAATCTACTTTTTTTCAATTAATGTGTAATTCGTCTGTCTAGTTGTTCAAATCTGAAGTTTTGTTGTGTTAGCTTTTTCTAATATTTCGGTTTTTCTTAAGAATAAAAACTTTTAGCACTGGATTTAGAAAGGTTTTAGCTCATTTCAAGATTATTTTGTCAAACACACATAGACAAATTTGTCTTTTATCAATTTAATTCTTTCAGTTTTCGATTTTGTAACTGATGCATGCAGATTAAATTATCAAGAGATTATATAGCCAAAATCCAGTTAGTGTAGCTGTTATAAAGAGGTTTCACATGTATCAACAAGGTCGGCTAAGCGATTCTCTGGTTTAGCCGCTAAGGCTCGTGCCGTGTGACCTCCTGACCTGCGTGTTCTCCCCCTCGCGGAACGCAGAAGCGACTCTCTGCCGCAGAAACGTTCCCAAATCGCGGCCCTTCTTGGTTTCGTCTCGGGGCCATTCCTCACACAGCTTCAGGAACCGACGATACCTGGTCGCAGACATCTTTGATCATGTAATATTTACGCGTGCGAGGATTTCGAAAAATTTGTGCCTTCTTGCGCACCGTACTTGTGTCACATCTAAATGGTTCCCCCTCCCGTTTAAGATCCTCGTTGTAGCACCACGGCGTTAGCACGATGAGCGGCTCAAACGTCAAAAAGGGCTCTTCCTCCAGGATGGTGGAGTGGATCAGCTCTGCCTGCCGGTTTGCAAGTGACAGAAATGACTTCAGAAGGTAAATTAAACATTAAAATTAATTTGTGTGCTATGTGAGGGTTAGCGAGTGCAGCTAGTTAGCCTCCGCGCACCGCCTGGGATTTGTCCTTGTGATTGTCGCTCCAGAGCTGAAACATGATCTAGTGATCCCACACGATAATTCAACTGTAAATTACTGAACATGGGCAAATAATAACATTTAATGTGTGTAGTGTTTATATTATGTCCACCCGTTTTGTTCAAATACTAAACGTTTGAAAAAGCTACTCACAAATTACCCAAAAATTCTTCAGATAATCTGTTCTCAATTTTTAGATGTATAAAACTAAACAATGACGGATGTTTGAATTATGTTCAAAATGTAGATTATTTTACACTTCAGTATAGTACATTAAAATAAGGCATTGGCTTCAAACTGTGCTGAAAAGTTGTTTTTAACTGTTCGTAACAGATTTCATCCTTGCTTCAGTGTCACTCATTCAAACTATTGTCTCTTTGGTGATTGTATGTACTTCTTTTTAACTATCTAATGTAACTTGGAAGAATGAGAGATGGTGTGTTGATGAGCTCATACCAGGTTACAGTTGGTTTATTATTGTAAGAAAAATGATCACATCTGTTTTTTGTTTTCTTTAGGAATCTTCTGGTCAACTTGGGCTTGTTTGCTGCAGGTGTTTGGGTAGCAAGAAATCTCTCTGATTTTGACTTGATGTCTCCTCAGCCGGTGACATAATGAGGTCACACATTGAAACCAAAACCAGATTGGTGAGATCATCTTCATCTGACCAAAATAAAGTTCTTCTCTTAATCCTCATATCCTCATGAAATCGGTGTTGACCAGGCAACTATGACTATGTCCAAGTTTTTGCTAATTTGTTTGGTAACGTGCTTCTCATCCTTTTAGGTGTCTTGGACCAACAAGAAGGAAACATGAGACACCAATAAATACAGAAGTTTCCCTGACTACTTACGCTTTGGAAACAGATCGTCTCATTTACAGTAGTCATTTGATTTTTGTTTATATTAGCTGTGAAACATTATTACATTTAAATAGCATCTTTATTAATGGGCTTTTTTTGAGTCATAGATTGACTTTACTACAAGTCCCCCCCCCCCCCCCCCACCCACCCATTAAGGGACTTTAAATTAGTTGATTTTATGCAGCCATGTCAGTTCAGGAGCTTTTTGTTGCTGCAGCTCGTAAATGTCTGTCTGTTGGTAGAAAGTCTCTCTCGGTCTCTCAGAGTCTGGACCTTGCTGCTCAGGTCTCGGCTGTTAGTTTGGGGTTGAAACCTGCTCTTCTTTACGACAGTAACGGTGCTTCTGTGGCGCAGGTCCAACAGTATCTGAGCTCCTTGCAGTCTCTCCAGCTTGCGTCTGAATCCCTTCTCATTCTGGACCTAAATGGAAACAGTCTCATAGTTAACGCAGGTGCAGTCAGGTCAAACATGGAGCAGGTGGCTGTGGTCGATGTTTGCCACTCGCTGGACAAACCTGCCATCTCTGAAGCTCAGAGGAGAGGACTTGGGAGCGTAATGGAGGGTTTGCTTCAGCTTCTGGAAGGGTTTCAGCAACTCCATGAACCTGGGAAACCTCTTTGCATCCAGGAAAAATGTGAGGAATGGAATCTATGTACAGTTTTTGGTGTTTTACTGGGTTTCCCCGTCACCTACTGGTTTGATCAGGCTGAGAGCTTTGAAAACTGTCTGTCTATGACTCCCCTGATGGTGGTAACAGCTTCAGCAACGTGGCAGGCGGGTGGCACCGGTCACAGATGTCGTCTGTATTCCTTCAGCGTTCCAGCTGCTCTGCAGGAGGAGACGCAGTCCGAGCTGGAGAACTGGAGGCTTCGTCTGTTGGAGAGATTTGAGCAGCAAAATGTCCTGAAGGATCTCAGCATTAGTCGGTCCACAGTCACTCTGCCCTCCGTCACTTTGTGATGTGAATAAACGTTTCTTTTAAAGTAAAATCCTCTGGGATGACTTGCTTTATCTTTTAACACTGTGTTGACACTTGAGGGACAGCAGTGATGAAAAGCACATTTCACATCTTGATCAAACTGAACCTACATTTTTAAAACTCAAAAAAGCAGCCCAAGTTGATGAAATTAGTTTAATTTCAGTTTTCCAGACGATTTTAAAGACATTAAGATTAGGCTTTTGAATAAACTATTACCTGAAATGCAGCTCAGACTCAGCAGCCACTTTTGAAATACTAAAGTGAAGATATGTAGTTTTGATTTTCATTTAAGAAAAATTTCCAGCCACCTTCACCGGCAGTTGTTCAAAAATAAGTAATGAATGGCTCCAACAGCTGATCAATAATCCTAAACTTAAAATGTTTCTCAGAAATCAGAGTACTTGTAAATACTGTAAGAAAATAAAAATTAATATTTAAATTATGATGTAATTCAAGTCATATGTGTTCAGAAAAACTTGCTCCAACATCCAAGTGGCATCTTCAACATAAACCAACTCCCAGAATTCCCATTTAAAAATAAAAACCTATTTCTTTAAAATCCTGGCTGAGACGATAAAACAATGCAAAGCACTTTGAGAAATGTTTTCATCAGATCTAAGCAAGAATCAAATCAAGTGAGTACTGTCATCACATGAGAGCAATGACTCCATGATAAAACTTTCAGTCTTTAGAAGGAAACACCTACGGTTTATTTTATGCAACTTAACATATTGTACAGAACAATAAATACATTTCTACAATTTGAACTGATACCAGTTCTGTTAAATAAAGCTCTTCATATATAAAGTTTAGCACTCTATATTTTCATCTCTGACAACAGTTATAACTAACTCGTTTTATTAAAAAGCGGCTGAACCGTCTTTTTACTCGTCCTGGCAGATGAGTCAGTCTCAGCTCATTCGGAAGACGTTAAATCAGTTTTTCAGCAGATTTCACACGATCCTCCACTAATCACGGCGTCAGAGAGGCTGAATGGCTGACAGCACTTCACCACAGCGGCCGCTCACTTTCAGCTCAGCCAGGTGGTCTGCTCTGGTGGGGCCGATGTTCAGAATGGCGATCGGCATCTTCCTGTCGCTCGCTGCCAGCAAAAACCTGTATCCTGAGTACACCTGATGGACAGAGACAACTAAACGTAAAGGAAAACAAAAAGTGTAGCGATCCAGCGATTATTATTGGTTTCCTACCTGCAACGATGATCCCACAACCAGCACCAAGTCTGACTCTGCCAGTCTGTCGTGAACACACTGGACAGTTGCTCTGCTGACGGTGTCGCCAAAAAAAGTGACGTCCGGCTTCAGTATCCCCCCACACTGCTCGCAGGACGGGACTCTGAAGTTGAGCACCTGCTCTTCTTCTAGGAAGACATCACCGTCCGGAGCCACAGTGCCCGCCTGAGCTCTCCACCCCGGGTTTAAGGAAGCGAATCGTCTCTGCAGATCCTCCCTGGCTGTGATGGCACCACAACCCAGACACAACACTCTAAAGAACAATTTAATAAAATGATAAAATATATGGTCAAATAAACCAATTTGACAAAGTTTTAAACATGGTAACAGAGAGTTGACTCCATGCAGTTGTTTAAAAGGGTTATTTGTTTGATTTATGAGTCATTTGATACTTCAGGTGTACTTCTAATAACTTTAGTGATGCTGCACAAATATAAATTATATAATACAGTATTTATTATACATATATATATATATATATATATATATATATATATATATATATATATA